CCCACCACCTCCCCCACCACCTCCCCCAGACGCGCTGCGATAACTTTGGCCAGTATTTTATAATCGGTGTTCAGCAGGGTGATCGGGCGCCAGCTCCCGAGGTCGCTGCGCTCCCCCTTCCCCTTGTATATAAGGGTTATGACCCCTCTTGTCATTGAACCTGGCACAGGGCCTTCCTCCGTAATTTCCTTATACATCTGCCACATGTCGTCCCTGAGGGTACTCCAAAACGTAACATAGAATTCAGCCGGTATCCCATCTAAACCTGGTGCACTGTGCCGACGTAATCCCCCCACCACCTCATCCAATTCTGCCCTCTGGATATGCTTGTTTATCTCCTCTGGAGCCTCAATAACCCTATCTACCCCCCCTAGCAGTGTGCTCCGCGCCCCCTCGTCTAACGGCCTGCTCCTGTACAATTCCTTGTAGTAACCCCTGGCGGCCTCCGTTATCTCCTCTGTGTTCTTGAGTCTACCTAACCTGGGACATACCAATTCTCGGATTGTGTTGTCCGCTTTCCTGCACTTCTTAAAGAAAAAACGCGTGCAACGCTCACCCTCCTCGACCGCCTTCACCCGAGCCCTGAATGCAAGTTGCGCGGCCTGCTTCTCCAACACCGCAGAGATCCTATCTTTGAGTTGCTTTATTTCTCCCATGACGGGGAATCCCAGTTCCATCAGTTTATACGCTCCCTCCAATCTCTCATTCAATCCCCGCAACACAACCCCTACGCTCCTCCTTCTACTCTGAGACTGGAAAAAGGACTTAATTCGCCCCTTCACCATTCCCCACCATTCAGCTATCGTGCCAAAGCAGCACCGCAGGCTCCTCCATTCCTCGTACTGCCTGACAAATTCCTCCACCACCTTTTTGTCCTCCAGCAGTCCCGACTTCATGCGCCAGATTCCCCTCCCCAACCTCAGCCCATCTGGGATTCTGAGCCCCCCAGCTATCATCTTATGGTCGGAAAAAGAGGAAGGTTCGTTTTCCACTCTCTCCACCTTAACCTTGGCAGAGACAAAGAGGAAATCAATCCTCGAGTGTGCGGTTCCCAAACAACTCGACCACGTGAACCCTGGTCGCTTTGGGTGTAACGACCGGTAAGCGTCAATCAAATCAAAATCTCCAACCAAAGCCCCCAGCCTCCTAGAGGAGGGGTCCAACTTTCGACATCCGGCGACTGGCCGCGTGTCCGCCAGGGTTAGAGGGCAATTAAAATCACCCCCCATGACGATGTGTCTTCGTGTTAGCAGCAAGGCTGCCACGTTCTCTAGCAACTCCACACGTTCCGGAGCGCCTGTGGGGGCCTACACATTGATCAGCCGGACCGCCGCCCCACCATATGCAACATCGACATAGTGGAGTCGTCCCGGGACCACTTCTCGGGCCTCCTGCACCTCTATGTTCTTTCTACCTAGGAGGATAACCACTCCTGAGCACCTATTAACATTGCTTCCGGACCAGAAGCAGTGTCCCTCCCAGTCCCTAGCCAGATCCTCTCGACCAAGGGAGTATGGCAAGTGGCACTCCTGTAAAAAGTAAACGTCCTTTTTCAGGGACCGTAGATAATGTAGAATGGCCCCCCTCCTAGCCCTGCCCCACATTCCCCTCACGTTTACTGATGCTACGGTAAGGTCCATACCCAGCATTGTCCCTCCCTACCCAGACCCGTCGTCCAATAGTTCATACAGGTTTGTGTCAGCCAATCCCTGCAATTGTTCCCCTCTCCTAGGCTCCTTGGGCAGCCCTCTTCCCTGGTTGGTCTTAGCCGCCACGGCACCATCCTCCGACGACCTCGCGTCTATCGAGGAGTCTGTTGCCTCCAGGTCCCGTTTGCGGGTCGTCCTCGCTGGGCCACGCGGCGCTTTCCGCTTCCTTTTCACCACCCTCTTGAATTTCTCCCTCCTGGTGCTCTCCCTCTGCTGCTCCTCTCCGTCCTCCCCCGCCTCCACCGCCTCCGCCCAGTCAACCACCGTTGGGTCGGGGGGTTTTCCCACGGGCTCCTCGTCCTCGCCCCCAGGGTGCTCCACCTGCCGGCCCGTGGGATCCGCGTCTTCCTCCGACGTCATCTCCCCCTCCTCCCTCTCGTCCTGCAGTGGCGTACCCTGCCTGCCCACCTCTCCACCCCCGTCCTCCATCTTCCCGCCGGGCTGCGGTGGCTTCAGCCCGTCCTCGGCCACCTCCCCTTCTCCATCCGCCACCCTGCTCCTATGTGCGCGGACCTTATTTGCGTACGACAGCGGGCAGTCCCTGTACAGGTGGTCTTTATTCCCGCATAGGTTGCACAATGCCGGGGCGCAGCATTCTGTCACAACGTGGTCCCGTGCCTTGCATCGGTAACATATCCGTGCCTCGCACGCTGCAGCCAGATGGCCACTCGCCCCACATCGCCTGCAGAGCTTCGGCTGTCCCGCATACACCACGTAGCCCCTATTGCCACCAATGTTCAGGGCGCTCGGGATATGTTGCAGAGCCCCTTCTGCCGTTCTCAACCTCACCCGCCATTGTCTGGCCCCCGTCCAGATCCCTAAAGAGTCTTGGACCCGCTTACTGTCCGAAAGCACCAGGCAGTGCTGCCTCAGCCACACCTCGACGTCGTGGTCTGGCAGAGCCTCGTTGTAGAGAAATATGGTGACCACTTTTGTATCGAGCTCAGAGAGCAGTTGGAGCTTCAGCAGCGACAGTGGCCGTTCCCCCGCCTTCTCCTCGAACAAAGTCATAAAACGCTGCAGTAAGTTATTTGTCTTAAAGCTCACGTCAAAAGCCCTGCCACCTGGCAAGGCTATCAAGCAAAACAGATCTGCCGGATCCACCTTCAGAATTTCGACCATCACTGACCGCACGAACCTCGGTCTGTCGATCGTGACCTCCTCTGGCACATCCTCCTTAAAGGACACCCGCATGCAGTTATGCCTCTTAGCGTGTATCGGGGTGAAGTTCCCTGCCGAACCTCCGCACCACCGCCCTGCGCGCTCCTGGGGCCGCCCTGCCCCCACAGGTCCAGGACTTGCCTGGACAGCGTCGCTTTGGGCACCTTGCGCCTGCAGGCCCGCCGAGCTCAGTGCTTCCTCCGCCTCCTCTCCTGGGCTGGCCAACACCATTTCACTCCTCGTCGGTGCCTCTCCCTTCCTCGCCCGCTGCCACCAGGCGTCCTCCTCCGCTTGCCTCGAGGTCGACGCTCGCGCCTCGTCCCTCTCCTCTGCGGGTCTCCCTCCTCCAGGCAGTCCCACCTCACCATCCTCTGCAGCAGCCAAACTGGCCCGCTCACCTCGGCTCACCACCCCAGAGCGTTTGGTCGCCATGGCCCCGAGGGCCTGCGAGGCTGCCACTGGCCAGGCAGCCAGGGAGCCGAGACTAGGCACGACACCAGCAGAGACACGGTAGAGAAAAACCAGCCGCGGTCGCGGCCCTCCTCATCGGGCAATTCGCCAGAATGGTGAGGCTCTGCTGTGTCTCCCGTTCTTATATAGAGCAGCAGCAGGGTGACGTCATCATTAACTCATTAATTCATCAGGTGCAAAGATTCAAGGGGGGAGTGATTGTAATTATATACTAGATTAGTAATCAGGCTATTGTTACGATGCGAGTTGTATATTAGTAATCATTTGGAATGTGTTTTATTGTGATTACGCTACATTAGTAATCCGTTAGTGTTTGTTTCCCTTATAAGGAATTGTAATGTATCTTATTTAATAATACGCTTCCAGGCCGCACTAAGCCTGTAGCTGTCTGAGCGATTCAAGTTATTTCTGTTTCTCTCAATTTCAATCGATTCTCTAATTAGTCTTTGCCAGTAGTAACTAGTTTTACACAACAATTCAACGTTGTCAAAATCAATTGAGTGTCCCTGTTGGCATGTATGTTCTGCCACTGCCGACAGTTGTGTTTGTGATAGTTTAATATTTCTCTGGTGTTCTTTTAGTCTTACACTAACGTTACGCCCTGTCTGTCCAATATAGCATCTGCCACATACACAATTAATCCGATATACACCTTCTGTTGATAATTTAGGTAATTCGTCTTTAGTGCACGTTACTAGTTGTTGAATTTTGTGTACTGTACCAAATCTTACTGTAATGTTTTGCTTTTGCAAAACACGGGCTAATTTGTCAGTTACTCCTGAGATAAATGGTATTTTTATTGTTTTAATAATCTGATCGCTTTCAGCAGTGTTGCTTTGCGATCGTGATTTGGCATTTAGTGCTCTGTTAATTTGAGCATTATTGTAGCCATTCTGTCTTAGTGCTTCTTTAACATGTTTAATCTCTCTCACTAGACTTTCACCATGTGACACTGTTTTAGCCCGAGCTAAAACAGCTTAAAAAAGACGCTCCAAGCCTGGGGTTGTCATTCAGACTCTGTCTTCTTAACAGACCTGTTCTTCACCTGAGGACGGCTGCTTGCGTTGTGGCCGAAACGTCGTGAGAATTATTTTATTATGTTTTATTTTTATTGTTTTATTATTTGCATTCTATGTGACTTTACCGAAAGAACCAAGAAGAAGAGTTCTCGTTACTTTAAGGATCCTGGTGCTGCATACAGCGTATTCAATGACACTGTTATGCTGCAGAGTGTAGTATTTGACTCAGCATAATGCTCAACAGTTCCTGGTGCGCTGCCGAGTCTACTCTGCTCACCTTGTGTCTCTACTTCTGCTGGTGCTGCTGATGATCGTGTAGCTCGCCTCCTCTCTGGGAAGCTGCCGGTGTCTCCAAGTCCCCTTCTCTGAGCTTTCCATCTCTATAAAGCTCCTAGCCACCCCTAGCCAATGGGAGAGCAGCTACACCCGCAGCCATATACACCTGGCTGCCTACCTAATTGCACCAAATAAAAATTCTTTGTTTCATCAGTTATCATCGAGTTAGATTGGTCAATGCCCATTATTGTTGTATGTAAAGTACTGTCGGGTGCTGTGCATGAAGAGCGCTATAGAGTACATATAAAATGTGTCGTGTATTTTTATGTTTTCCTCCATACTCCACACGTGTGTTGTGTCACAGATAACAAGGATGGCTCATCTGACATTACTTTATGGGCATCAACAGCAGCAGTAGTTGTGTTGCTGATCCTCCTGGCATTGGGAATTAGCTTGTGGATTCTCAAGCGTAAGACCGCCACCACGGAGGACCCTCAGCACCGCGAGCTCTTCCTGGAGGGAAGAGACAAGAATGGCTCTGCAAGAAACTACTTCATCAACTGCATCGGTCATAATGAGTCATAAATGCGCACAGATGCACTGCAACATCACGAAGGCAGTGGATATGATAATGGATCTGGTTAGGTTTCCCCACTGGAACAAAACTGGGACAGAGAATTACTCCAAGGGCATTGAGTGCGGTTTATGAAACAGTGATATGCAGGAGAGGTGTAAGCCGCGTGTGTGCGTACACACGTGCAACCATCTACCCAGACCTTTTCACTCCAGTAGTTTAAAATGTTAAGCGGAATTAATGGGGTTAAGTGGTATATTGTACCTGATAATTCACTGTTAAGTTACATTTCAAAAATAATACAAATTATAGACACTTAGAACGTCACAGATATAACCTTAACTCAGCCACATAAGAGCCATACCTGTATAGTGTAGCACAAGTTGGAGACGAGGTAGTTGCAGAAGGCACCTTCTTTATTAACACTCTTGAGGTTCAACAGGTTCTCCTCGTTCCTTCTTGATGTCGTACAGCCCAGCCTAGACACAACCCTAACCGCGTTACACTGACGACGTCGACCAAGACAGCCAAAAACTATCCGGCCGTGCAATTATCGAGTGAAGGTGGCAGCGACGAAGGCTGCGAAAACGACAGCAGCGGCGAGATGAGTCCACTCCCAGAACCGGCAGCCTGGAGCTCTCGCTCTCCACATCTTTTATTCTACTCGGCGCGGCCTGGCTCCACCCTGGCCGTGCCTCCCTTCTTGTACCCACGAGCGGTTTCCAGGGGCTTCCCGATGAGGTCTTCTGTGGCCCTTGTCCCAGTTCATCTACACCCGTGTATATGCTCAACGGCGTGCGTGCTAGCTGTCCACCGCAAATGCCGCTGCTGGACAGCAGTCGGCGCTGTGTCACTACATTTGTGTATGAAGCAGACCGGAGTACAGGACTGTGACCACTTGCATACACACCACGTGTACACTCGAGCCTGTACAGCAGGGGTCCCAGACTCCAGTCCTCGCGGGACCCCCACCACCACGTTTACCACTTCACTCGCCGTTCATATGCAAATTAACTCGTGCCACGCTTCTCTACGCGCCCGATGATTGTTAAACATATCCCATGTGACGAACTCGGAAATTAACGATATGTGAGTCGATTCACATTACGAGTGAAATCTTTGTGTGTATGCACGTGTGTTCCACGTGACAGCATTATTTGCTAAGTGCGTTACATAGCGGGGCGCCGTGTTTAACAATCATCGGGCACGTGCAGCGTGTTTGTTTTTGGGAAGGAGTAAATTGGTAAACGCGGAAAGACGGAAGCGTGGTGGTGGGTGGTGAGTACAGAGCTGGAGTTTGGGCAAACCGGCTTTGTGACATTTGCGTTCCTGCGCTTACTGCACGTGAAAGCTGGCATGGGCATTAACCACTGAGATGAGCTTAAGGCTTGGTGTCACAGCGAGTGATGTTGATGACATCGCTTAGGATTACGATTGGCAGTGCCAGCTGAGTTGGCAATTGGAATCTCTATATTAAAGGAAGGGCTGTTAATTCGTCTTCATATTGTTTCACTTGAAAGAACTGCACGTCATTCTTTCTGACAACCTTTACAATTCATCTCAGCTATATAAAGTGTTATATCTCTATATAGTGAACGTTATTTCAAATAACATTTTTGGTTAGAAAGCGTATGTGGGGGACCAAAAATCAAATAAATCAGTGTTCAGAATTCTCTACTGACAACATCGACTCGACAATGTGCGAAGTTCAGGTTTGTAGCCCTTGTAAACTGCCAGGTGGCTAGCCACCCCTCCCATTGGGAGATTAAAAAAAAGGAATTGTATGGGTATGTTCACCTAACTTCAATATATATTTTACTTGCACCTTTATACAGCGTATATATTTTTACTGATTGTTAAACTATGTAGTAATAAATTTCGATTTAAAGCTTTCGTGACTGCAGGGATTCATCTTCTTGGTTCTTTCGGTAAAGTCACGTAGAAGGGAAGTAATAAAATAATACAAATAAAACATAATAAAATAATTCTCACGACGTTTCGGCCACAACGCAAGCAGCCGTCCTCAGGTGAAAACCAGGTCGGTCGAGGCGACAGCGTCTGAATGAAACAGCACACGTGCTTGGAGCATATATATAAGCTGGGTTGGAAGGGGGGGAAAGAGCGCCTTGACAAAATAATTTGCATATCAAGAGGAATTTTGCATATTTATGGGAAATGCAGGTATGTTATTAGTACTACTTATGCCCGTGCATTATGCAGGAATAGCATTTCTCATATCCCCTCCCTTTGATGCTGCTAATCCTGCATAATGCACGGGCATAAGTAGTACTAATACATACCTGCATTTCCCATAAATATGCTAAATTCCTCTTGATATGCAAGTTATTTTGTCAAGGCGCTCTTTCCCCCTCCTTCCAACCCAGCTTATATATATGCTCCAAGCACGTGCTGTTTCATTCAGACGCTGTCGCCTCGACAGACCTGGTTTTCACCTGAGGACGGCTGCTTGTGTTGTGGCCGAAGCGTTGAGAATTATTTTATTATGTTTTATTTTTATTATTGTATTACTTCCCTTCTATGTAGTAATACTTTGTGGTGAAATCATTTGAAAACATCGTGTTGAATTTGATATGTGATGGTACTCAATACCACTTCTATGCAGATAAGACATAAATTTACATTTCATCAAAATTGAATGCTGCCTTTGCTCTTTCACAAAGTGCTTGCAATCTACAAATTGTATAATAAATGAAGTACGAACACCGAGGTGTTGCTTGTAGTTTCTCACCATCCCACTCATTCTGGTGGCAGTGCGAATGTTCCTGTTGATATACAAGTGACAACTTTAGCTTCCCACTTCATATGCGACTCAGCCCAGTCATTCACAGGTCATGTTAAACAATATGGACGATAACAGTCATTTCACATCGTAGGTCTGAGTCTGGTCCTCGCTTCTCTTCACTGACATCCTACAGAGTTCGGGGTTGACTTGAAGGTTCTCTATTATAAGCTGCCATGTTCTCAAAAGTGGACAACGAAGTCATCACGCGGACTTATTGAGCCCCATCTGTGTGACCATCCAGAGGGCTTCATTCTCCATGGCTGGTGCCCTGTGCGTTCCTCAAACACGGCTCCACACAGTGCGTTGCCGTGCTGCTGCCTAGCAGGATTTGGGTGGAATGCATTTCAATGGCAAGAATTGGTGAAGGACTCTTTCAATAAAAGCCATTGAGACCAATTCAACAGAAGCTTGTACTACCAGACCACTCGGCTAAATGGGTGGAGCGCGTGAATAATACATGAAGGTACTCAATCAGTGTAAAAAAGATTTCTGAAACGTTGGACTTGTAATGCACCCCATTATTGTAGCGTTACCTCTCCCAATGGTCACTGTCAGATTGTCACGTTCCCTGTTGGTCACGGTCAGATTTTCACGTCCCCTGTTGGTCACTGTCAGATTGTCACGACACGCCCCACCTGCCCCCCGTCCTCTTCCGGCCCTTCTATGATTGCTACATCTGCCCTCGGTCACCCAGATGGGCAGGTACGTATATACGTATGTTGACCTTCTTTCGCACCGTACGTAGCCAACCGTGCTACCCTGTACCTACGAGGTACCCCTCTACCGATTATTAAATTGTCGCGTCCTCTGCAGACCACTCTCAGAAAGGTGATTTAAGTGACACTTTCAAAGCGTTTTGGATCTGTACATTGTGACGCAGTTCTACACTCACTCTGCAGATGGCAGCCAATACCAAGGCAAGAGAGGGACAAGAAACTTCCGTTAGTGTCAAGACACGAGGATGTGACGAGAATAGTTTTCATTTTAAACATGCGTTAAAAAATATAGCTGAATATGGAAAAACTGAATGTAAGAGTCATTTAGCACTTCAAGCAAGCACATGCTGCATCAATTTCACCCGAAAACTTTGACGTTTAAATAATTCCCTCTCTAAATATCGGTGCGGGCCATTACAAATGATTGCACCTCCATGAGGGTGTCGATTTTGAAGGACTGGAAGGGTGACGAGATACCCGTTCATTAAGATGTGAAATGCAGTTACCTAGATTGCTTTTTATAACAAGTTAACATTTAAATATTTAGTTTTAGTAATTTTTTTGAATATTTTTTTTATAACCCTTGGCTGTTGAGTGTTTACAATTCTTCAGATATTACACAAATTACTACCATGGATGACAACGAGGCCACAGAAGAGGTTCTAGAATAGATGTCCCTACCATCGACCCACTGTTAATCTGCTTATGGAGGAGACCATTGAATTCCAATGACCATTGTGCATATAATCTCATCATGAAAAATCAAGACTGAGTAGAAGTTGAGATATCCCACACCAAGGCGTAAATAAAACATATCTTTAAATTATTTTAAAACCATTTACAAAAATAGGAGCGGCCACACTGAGGTTACATGGAATATCACCTTTGTACATTAGACATTGAGAGGAGAGTCGGTTTGGGTGACCATCAATCTCCAAAGTTATTCACAGCGCTGTTTGGAGATATGAATGATATCGCATAAAAGCAATATTTGAACCTCCTGATAATACCACACACAGAGCTTGTGTAATCATAAAATCGAGTCCAATCTCATCAGATCGACACGCGACCTGAACGGAAACCGAATGCTCTAGATGGGTGAGGTGGATTCAGGGGCCGAGTGTGGAATGTGTCGCTACTCACCTTAGGGTGCAGTGGAGCGAAGGATGATGGCGGTGGTCCGGGGAGGCGTCGTCGTGGCACGCGGCAACCCGACGAGACGTGCCCCGGCAGGCCGCAGCTGTAGCACATGACAGGGTTGCTCCCGGGATGGGGAAATGTCTTCTGCCGTCGCTGGTCGTCCACCCGTTGCACCATTCTGTCCCCTCGCCCACCTCCTCTCTGGGTCGATGTGCAGGTTGGGACGGGCTCCATGTCTTCAGGTGTATCCGGCCCCTCACGGGGTGCGGTACACGCCGCCAACCCCTTGTGCCGTTGCAAGAGCTGTTGAGCCTGGATGCATCTCGCAACCCTGATGGACGAAAGATTGTCGTCGTCTACAGCTGGCAGGACGATGTTGAGGTCCTTAGCCAAAGCAAGCAATCTCCGTCGACCAACGAGTCGACTCCGTCGTGGTTCATCCTCGGAAAGGCAGCCTTCGCTAGCACCAAAAGTGCACTATGGAAGGCGAGGAGAGTCTCGGCTTTCCCCCCTCTTCCGCGTAGCGAACTTGTGGCACATGTTCGACAGTGGTTCGTAAATTGCTGCTATTTGGTCAAGGTTTTGAGTCAGTGTGACCTTCTCCGACGGCGGGATGATAAGAAACATCACCAGAGCATCGTCATTAAGGGCGGCAGGCAGTGCTCTCAGTGCCTCCACCTCCGTCCACCCCGCCAAGTCGGCGTTCGTCAGGAACTGCCGCTTGAAGGCCACCCAGCCGCCGCTGGCGGCTGTAAATTCTTTCACGAAGGGAAGTCGTCGCCGGAGAGATGGAATGTCCACCGGCGATTTCAACGGAGCTTCGGATTTGGCCGGCCCAGCGCTCCGCCCTTCTGAGAAGATGGCAGCCACAAGCGCGGGCTGCACCACTGAGGTTCCCGCTTGGTGGAAAAAGGTGGTGGAAACTTCGTCCCCGCGTGGCTCCGTTGCTCCCTCTTCCACCCCTGGCTCCACGGGGTGGAGTTCCGCGAGGATAGATGCCGCGGCTTGGAGCAGCTCTGCGAGGCGGGTCCAGACGGTGCTCTGCTCCGCCAGCAGCGCTTCGCCTCCATCCTCCGGGGTCACCATCCCTGGGGCTGTTTGGGTGATGAGATCTTCATCTTCGTCGTCTGACGTCCTGGTAACTGCCCCTTTACCAGATCACAACCTATGGTGGTGGACCACCAGGCTAACTACACTAATTACACTCGGACTAGCTACAACGGACAGAACGCTGGCTTGGGTCCAGGTCCACATGTTGGTGACTCTTCTCGGATGTAGAATGTAGAACATAGATCGTCAGGATAACAACGGCAATGCTGAACCCGGGTTCCTCTGGGAACCCGGTTTATATCCTCACTGGTCGTGGCTGGCTCTGCCCTTGGCCACGACCACCTTCTCGAATCCTCTAGCAAAATTTCACTCCGACACGTGACCACCCCTAGCCCCCACTTGGGGCCCCTGTGTAGACTTTACCTGTCACATGCCTTCTAGGGTCAACCAGAGTGACATGGCGTACATTAACCCCATTCATGGCCGGCACTCTCACACCCTCTCCTATACTCCTGTAATGTGGGCGTAAACGGCCTCGCGGATATGACGTCACGGGGGGAGGAGTTAGGTCACGTGGGAGAGAGGGATCAAGTCTTAAGGGGGAGAAACCGGAAGAGAAGGGAGAGAGTTGGAGGGTGGCGAGATCGCCACACACATAGAGTAAGACGCGGCACCGTCGGCCAGCGGTGACCGAGCACGGGGGAACGGGGAGCAGCGGTGAGGCTGCAGTGAGGGCAGCCAGAGGCCTGCACGAGGATATCAGCAGCGGAGCTGCATCGGAGTGCAGTGAGAGGCTACGGGAGCGACGGCAGCATCGAGCTGCCAAGCGGAGAGTCTCTGAGAGAGAGCCGTGTGGGACAAGTGTAAAGAACCCGAATAAAGGACAACGGAGACAGACACAGTGATCAAGTCCTTTATTACACTGGTGTCAGAAGTGAAACGGCATGTCAAAACAACTAAGAAAAAAAAATATTCCTGCGCCATCATCTGCTACATCATCCGACGACGACGACCTTCCTCAGGCGGTGGACCTGCCTGCGATGGAGGAGGAGATCCGTCCTGGAACGAGTGCGGGTCCGGGAGTCCAAGATGTCGCCGCGTCGGTGGACTCGTCTGCACCGGAGGACGCGGACTTGCGATGAAAACAGATGGCGACGCAGCTGGAGACACTGAAAATCGTGCTGGCGCAATTGTGTGAGCTTGTCACGCCGAGGACGGCGTTGGGGAGAGCCGATGGTGGTCCGCAGGCCGCCGCCTTGC